AAGCTGATAAATAATATCGTAAAAAATAGATGGTTGAGATTTGACATATATGCAATAAAAAAGGTGGGATAAGTGAATTGCAGCTTTTTTTAGCTAAGGAAGATAGCTTAAAAATTTCATGTATTAAACGACTCGAGAAAAAAGGAGCTACAGCTAAGTAAAAAACGAGAAAAAAGGTCTGGAGAAAAGTGTAATTTTTGCTGATATTCACGAAATTAGGTTTAAAACTATTCCGCTGTGTAAACCAAACGATTGCTTGGGGGGCCAGATAACCCCGTCCATGTCATTTTAAAACAAATTTGTGCGCTACGGCTTGTTTCATTGCATTTTCCTGTTTGGCGGAGAGGTTTAACAGATTAATGGGCTTTCTTTTAGTTAATTTGTATTCAATAAATCTTATTTCTTTGTTATGTAGAGAATTGCTGATAGTAAAGAAAATAATGAAAAATGAGTTTATTCGCACATTTAATCTTTTTTGAGATAAAAATGAAGTGTTTTTTAGCGCCCACAAATACCAGAAGCTGTGAAAGAACATGTGAAGCAAGCCGAGTTTGTGCCGCGAAACCCGCCTCCACCGTTCGAATTTGATGCTGATCCGGCCACCATCAATGCTTTTGACTTGTACATTTTTATTTTCATTCGTTGGATTTCCGGAGTGTTGGAAGTGTGAAGTTTTTTGGGAGATTCGGATTTTGGAATGAAAAATACCTTTTCTTTTTGGGAAATGTATTGTGCCCTGGGAACTGATTTGTATTTCAGGGATTTGATCAAATTAACGGCCTTATTTGTGGCACGAAATGGACGTCAGTTCTTGACTTCACTGATGAACCGCGAGTCGAGAAATTACCAGTTCGATTTCCTAAAGCCGCAGCATTCAAATTTCAATTATTTTACAAAACTTGTGGAGCAGTACACAAAGGTACCTTCCTTTCAGTGCTAATAATCAGCCTGCGAAGTCCTCTCGAATACTCGCGCCAGCATAGCTGTAGCTAGCTTTCTTCATGGATTGCACGCGACTCCATACAGCATTCAAGCTTGCATAAATAGTCGTTTCCTTAAAACACAGAAAAAGCTTTTTCGTGATTTTTTTTTAACTTCCTGTGGAAAAGTTACTTTTTGAAATCCCACAAAGAAATTAGTTTTTGTGTTCATTAAGCAATTACTGGACTCGAAGTGCCTGTTTAGAGAATTTTAAAAAGCTCTTTTATTTTTGAGATGCGCCCACACGTTTGTCACAGCGTACC